TTCAGGCCCCACCTGGGACCTTTCTGTGTGGAGTTTGCATGTTCTCCCTGTGCTTGCGTGGGTTCTCTCCGGGTACTCCAGCTTCCTCCCACAGTCCAAAGACATGCAGCTTAGGTTGATTGGTGTCTCTAAATTGCCCATAGGAGTGAGTGTGTGTGGTTTATGTGTTATATTAATTTCCTTTTGGATTTTGTTTTCTGTTTTTGTTTATTCTTTGGCTGTTGTTCAGACAGTACATACAGTAATTTAATTCTGGGTTGATGTGATTCATTTGTGACAGGTATTTGTCACACTGTGACTTTCTCTCAGTGGTTCAGTTCTTTCACCTTTGCTTCTCAATTTATAAATGCTCCCACTTTGTGACATTATACACAAACACACACAGTGGTGCACAGCCACAGCAGGATCAATGAGCACCTCTGTTGGAATTTCACATTAATTCATATTCGCCGTAAACCCAATATTACTTGCACAGTCAGTGGCCATCAAGACCCGTTGGACCTGAGGCAGACGACTGCACCGTCAGTGCTGTAGTGGAGGCTAAACACACAAACACTGTTTACCCTGTCTCAAATTCTGAAACGGTGTTTAGCCAGTGTCTGTGCACTGAAACCACGACTTCCTTCAGCACCACTGCATCTTTTTAACATTGAGCAACCATCAATTCCCCCCCCACAGCTCTCAGGATGTCAGGGGATAGTATCCTAGAATTAGATTCAAATTTGGTGAAGGCACTTTTAGCTACTTCAGCCCTGTTGAGATTCAAAAGTAAACTGAAAACATTTTCAGTTTCCTCAGGTTTTATGAGTCATTTTTCTTGCATTCATTTAACATATTCCCATTTCTTCTTTTAATGTATTTTTTAAAATTTATTCTAGTTATTGTATCCAGTTTGTAGGGCTGGACAAACTATTCTAAGCTAATCTGTCTGTGTGTGACTTAAAGGCTGAGCTGGACACTATAGAACGACTGGCCCGCCTGGTTCCATGTGACCATGAAGATCTGTTAAACCTGACTCTGCGTCTGCTGTTCAACCTCTCCTTTGACTCTGGACTCAGAGCCAAGATGGTGGAAGTTGGACTCTTACCTAAGCTGAGTGCCTTGTTGGGTAAATTCACACAGCATTGTACATGTACACTGTCTGGATTGTATGTAGAGCAGTGTTAATTTTGACACCTGAATACAATTTTATTTTGTTTTTAGTCTTCTGACAAAGATGCCTATTAGTTTGAGTCAAATTGTTTTTCTTAAAGTGTTTTATTTTTGTTTTGTTTAGTTTGTCAGTAAAAATTAAAAACATTTTAGTGCAGTTTTTGTCATTTTTAATATTTACTGTGGGCTATATCTTCTTAATCCTGAATGTGTACAGTTACCATGGCTACATGTGCTATTCCCGTCTATCATGAGTTTTGTGGAAAGCCGTGTTTTATTCACATAATTTTCTCTGCCTTCTTTTGACAATTGTCCATCATTGCTCAATGCAAAAAATCGTGACAGTTGTTTATGTTTGTTTGTTGGTACACAGGTGATGAGAACAACCGTCAGGTAGCCATGCGTATCCTGTATCACATCAGCATCGATGACTGTTTCAAGGGCACGTTTGTGAGCACAGACTGCATACCTCAGGTTGAGCAGCAGCTACTGAAATGTTTTCAACAAACTAAAGGAATATGAATGGTTGACTGTAACTTTTTTTATTGCTTGGTAGTTGTAAGGTCAGAGGTGAAATTCTCTGTGGATGTGCTTGTGTGTGTAGCTTATGCAAATGCTGCTTGACTATGGTGAGGAGGAGACTGAACCTGAGGTCATCGCCATCTTCATCAACCTGGCTATAAACATGAGGAATGCACAACTCATGTGTGAAGGTATATTTATATGAGCTGTTTTATTTTTTTTAAATATTCTGTTATGTGCAAAGAATGATAGTAGTCTGCTTAACTTAATGTTGGCTTTCACGTTGTTAGCCTAAAAGAGTGATTCACTTATTGTAATGACTGAGGTTCAACACGTTCCTAATATTAAAATAGATAACATCTCTTGTGAAGTGTTCTTTGCTGTTGATTATTATTGGCATTTCTTTGATGCCAACATCCAAAAGCAGCACAGAAATCTGGTGGTTGAACTGGCCATAATGGCCAGGCTGCCCAATGCAATATGGTGGCAGGTGTGACACACCTATGTGTATATAATATCCATGACTTATTTATGGGCATGAAACCACAACACAGCTGCTTTGTTAGCACCTACATGCGCCTCGCTGCTGCCAGATTTCCACCACCCCAGCTATAATCTGATGTATACAATCATTTCTGTGTTATGGCCTCTCTCTGTCTGCAGGAAATGGGCTGAAGATGCTCATGAAGAGAGCTCTGAAGATGAAAGACTGCCTGCTGATGAAGATGATCAGGAACATCTCACAACATGATGGACCAACCAAACCATTGTTCATAGTGAGTTGAGTGCTGTGGGAGTTTCCAAATACTTTTTCCAGATAATAGAAACATTCATGTGTTAAAGCAGGATTTATTAGTGTCTATATACTCAGGTCTTATCATATTGTGGTCATGTTTCATATGGACATTGTCACACTTGTGATTGTCCTGGGTTTTTAAAACAAAAACATTTGCTTTGAGTCCCATTTCCTGTCTGACTTGGGTTTTGGAATTGTTCTTCCCAATTCAAAAATCAAGACTAAGTGAATCTACAGATGTGTTACAAGACGTCTCCTGCTTCACTGAAAAATCCACTGTCAGGGCCTTGGGGGCTTCAGATTTTCACCTCGCACAGAAGCTTTCCTTTCAGACAAGTGGCAACAAACTGCCTATACAATATATCGAGGTAAAGAAGAGTAAACGTTTTAACAGCATCAGAAAGATGTGTTTTCCTGGCGTCTTTTCCCATTGAAGACGAGATATGCAGGAAATGATAGGAGGAGAAAGGAAACAAGAATATACAGCTTTTAGAGATGTACCTTTTTCTGAATCATCGTCCGTTTCTGATGAGAGTAGCTCAGCTGGATCCACTGTCAGTCTGGTATTCCAGCTCTGTGGCTGTCGGGTTCCCCCCTAGAAGACTGGGCTGAAATGCACAACTCTACAGTTACTGAAAGGTTTAAGTGGTTTATTGATGGGTTACAGAGCAGCAAACAGGGAAGATGGCTGTGGTAAACAGGTAAGACTGAGGAGCTCTCTCAGTCATCAGGGGAGAATGTACTCAATGGGTTGCAGGTCTCTCCGGGTAGTCTCCCCTCCACATATTGAGATTTAAATGATCTCATCAGCTGCCCTTTAATGACCCTACAGTTAATTGATCTCTACTTGAGTTGCCAACTTTGAGCAACTTTGAAACTCTTTTGCTTCACTGGAGGGTTTTAGTGTCCCTTGATGTGAATCATCTCTTCTGTCCATTCTGATCTCTGTCAGGACTACGTTGGTGACCTGGCAGCAGAGATCTGTGCAGAGAAAGAGGAAGAGTGGGTCCTAGAGTGTTTGGGAACACTGGCCAACCTCACTATCCCTGACCTGGACTGGGAGCTGGTGCTGAAGGAGTACAACCTGGTACCTTACCTCAAAGACAGGCTCAAACCAGGTAGTGGTCAGATTTAGTGAGAACAGGTGTATGCAGACATTTGACCACCACTCATCAGATGCTGATTGATATGCAGAGAACTACATAACAGCTCGACAGCAAGCAGACACAAAAATGCACCTTTTCTTCTTCATTACATCTTATTTCCTAAACTTAAAAAAATGAAAACAACCAGCAATTGTGGCATTTACAGAAACTTGTAACCCACTGAGACCTGAAATGCAAGTCAGGAATTGAAATGAGCATTTTCTGACTCTTCAACCCTTGTGGTAAATATCACATAATTCTGGATGCCAATGTCATATGTCAGTCAGGCAACAAAAACTGACATACACATGTACTGTATGTAACTTTATGCTTCCCTTAACTGTCACCCAGCACAACCTCACAGGTCAGTGTGGACTGTCCTGCTTTGCTTTTCTACTGTATTTGTCTCTGTGTTGGTCTGTGTTTAGCAGAGGTTTGCATTCTCAGAGTGCTATCTAGTTTGTGAACGTATTAAAAATGAAAGTCTGAAATCTCTCATTCACAAAAGTATTCAGACCGTGGCACTGTGCAAACTGTGGTCAGGTGCATCATGTTTGCTTTGGTTTTGTTTGCAACTGAGATTGGGCATAGTTTATAGAGGCACACGCCTCTGTATATACAGTAAGGTCTCACAATTTCACGCTGTAATTCAGGGCAAAAACCAAGCCATGATGTACAAGAAACTGCATGTAGACCTCTGTAATGTAACTCTGGCAATGCATAGATCACGGCAAAGGTTTAAACCCGTTTCTCGTCCTGAATGTTCCTGGAGCATAATAGCATAGTTACTGAACTGTGAAATGGAGTCTGGAACCGCCAGGACTATTCTTAGGGTTGACATCCAGCCAAATGGATTAACCAGACAAGAAGGGCCTCAGAGGGTCAGGGAGGCAGCAGAACACAGTGGCCACAGAGCTTCACAAGTCCTGTCAGAGATGGCAGAACCTGCTGGAAAGATGACCATCTCAGAGTGATCCTTTATAGTATATTCACTTTTTTATTCAAGTTCAAGGTCAAAGTGTTTATTGTCATATGCACAGTTAGGAAACATGTTTCCCTGTACAATGAAATTCTTACTTTGCCGTCCACATGAATGCCACAAAATACAAATGAAATATAAAGTAGATAAGTAACACAAAATCTAAGCCACTTTAAGCAGCAAATGCAGCAATATAATAAAAGAATATAACAGAGAATGTATGGTGATCTTCTACACAGTCTTTACCACTCTCTGCAGGCGCTTGCGGTCCATAGCAGTAGTGCTGCCGTACCAGACGGTGATGCAGCTGATCAAGATGCTCTCAGTGATGCAGCTGTAGAAGTTGCTGAGCATCCTAGGCGACATGCCAAACCTCCTCAGCCTCCTCCGGAAGTACAGCCACCGTTGGGCCTTCTTGACCAGCTGTGTGGTGTTAAGTGTCCAAATGAGGTCCTCACTGATGTGGATGCCCAGGTATTTGAAGCTGCTCACCCTCTCCACTTTCAGCCCCGAGATGAACAGCGGCCGATGAGACCTCCTTCCTCATGTCCACTCCTTCATCTCCTTCGTCTTGTCCGTGTTGAGGCTGAGATTATTGTCCTTGC